TGGAACATCAGACATAATAAAATAATATTAAAGTTATTTAGAAAATATTCTATATTTATTATTTTATATGAATAGAAGTTATTCGGATTATATTGATTTAATAGATAAAGTAGAAAATATAGAACAAGTAATACTAACCGATAATAGATTTAAGAAAGTATGCTATTTTGTTTTAGAATTAATTAAGTTTGTGATACGATATATTAAAAATATAAATATTAATATAGATGGGAAGAAAGAAAAAGAGTAAAAGCAAAGAAAGACCAACGCCTGATACTGAAACACGAAAAGAAACAACGGAAAGTATTAAATCAATGGGTGAAAGTAAATCTATAACATGTGATAAATGTAACCATGTTATGAATTTTAAGAATGAATTGACGGTAGATAAAAAAGATGGTGTTAAAGTTAGTTGTGTTCCATGTATGTTTTCTTATAAAAAATCGGATAAAGATTTGAATATTAAGAAAAAGACTGGTGGTGATATGGTAGTAGAAACTAACGAACATTTGATTCATGCTAGTTTTAATAGGGACATAAGTTAGTATTTAAAGAGTAGATTTAGCATAATTGCAACATTTAGTTTTAAAAGTTTAGTTTTATAATTTAGTATATATGGAGGAACATTTAGCGAACATTGACAGTAGTTTAGAGTTGTTGTTTCCAAGATTAGAAAAAGTGTTGGAGCAAAATGAAAACATACTGAACAGCTTAAAGAGCATGAATATTAAACCTACATATAATAACAATAACAGTTACCAAGCAAAAGAAGTAGATAGAGACAGTAGCGAATACAAAAATAAACGAAACATTTATGTTAAAAAACTGAATGAAAAAATCATAAAAGAACCTAAACAATCAAGTCTGGATTACTATCAAGTCAAGTATAAAGAAGACACCAAGAAATACGTTTAATCATTAGCCAACAAAATTTCGTGTCTCAAAAGCGGTTTGTTTATTCCTGCTACTTTGTAAGTTTTATTGCCCATAATATCATATTCAATTTTATCAATATTGAATATTTTATTAGACCATTTAGAGTTATACTCCTTTCTGTCAGTGTAATTACCCCTCTTCTTTTGGAACACTTTTACCTTGTCGTTCTCCACTATTCTGGGATACTTTCTTTTGTTTTTTTCTCGTAGTTTAAGATTGACCTTTACATTTATTTCATTGTCGTCCTTGTGTGCTTCAGACGGTGCCATCCTTGTTGATGAGTGAGATGTGCTGTTATACTGTTTCAATGCTTGCGTTAGGGCATCGGTCCATTTCATGTTGTTAAACCTAACTCTATCGTGAATTTTGTTTTTCATCGTTCTAATAAAACGCTCGGCCACATTTGCGTGGGTCTTCGTGACGATGTGGTTTATTCCTTCACTGTTGAAGAAATCCTGAACTTGATTTTTAGTTGCAAACGCTCCGTCGTCATCAGAATACACAGACATCGGATAACCCATCTTTTTAAAGCTTGTTCTCAACGCCTTCAAAACGTGCTCTCCGTCTCTTTCCTCCATCGGTATTACATCAGCTAATTTACTGAAGATGTCAATCACGACTAAAGCATACTGTGGAACGTTCTTGTCTTTTGCTAAAGGTGACATATGCATTATGTCTATTTGATATTCATATCGTGCGAATGGAGCGGTATAGGAATTAGTACCTCTATAATTTTTGATTTGTTTATTTGGTTGTTTCTTTAAGAAAGACTTTACATCGTCTAATGTTATTGTTGGGTCTTCTTCCTTTGCCTTCTTGTGTGTCGCTTGTGTGCTTCCGAAACCCTCGTCTAAGTCGTAATAGATGTTGCTGATTATTTGGTCTTTTGTTAATCTCGCCATTATATTAAATTGTTAGAAAATATTTTTCAATATAAGCCCCCACCCCTCAACATAAAATAAAAAAAAACTACTTAAAGAAAAATGGATATAATATAGTAAGAGAAAAAAAATGACACTGTTTAATTATGATAATTGTCCTTGTAAAAATAACAAATGTAAGTCTGTCGTGGCACTAGCTAATATTTTACCTGTTGATGTTTGTAATCTTATAGGTGGTTATATTAAACCAACATGTTTTGATTGTTGGTATTTGAGAGATGAAAAAGAACATTTTATGAGAAATAAAGACATTCCTGAAGAAGGACTGGAAAAAGCAGAACTTCAATTACAAGTTATTAAACTAATGCAAAATAATGTTTTTACTCTACTAGCAGAAAACCAATATAGTATAAAAATAAGACATTACAGAAAACACATTGACCGAGTATTTGATATACAAGAAGTTAAAGAACGGTTTAAAAATAGAAAAATGTATTATCAAGCTTTAAAATCATACTGTAAGAATAATGAATATGAAATTTGTATCATTTTAAAAAAATGTATTGACATTGAAGCTTTAAAACAATTTAAACGTTGTAGGTTTAGCTTTCCAAACCTAAACAGTTCGTGGTCATATAGAAATAACAATTATTATTTGAGACATATTCTTAGCGAATTAATTGAAATTTACATAGACCAATTAATAAAAGGATACGAGCATTATTGTTGTGAGTATAGTATGAGTTGTTATAGTGGTTGTATCGCTGGTGAGATTGAATTCGGGTCAAATTAACTTTTGTTTATTAATATTATTATCTTATAATATGATTAAACATTGCTTTATAATCTAAAAAGAAGGTTAAGACATTTAAATTAAACCTGAAACCCAGACCAGCCGACCAGCAACCCCTAGCCAAAACTACTTAAAGAGAAAAAACCTTATATATTAAGAGAAAAATGAGTGGGGGTAAAATGTCAGATAATAATTTTATGGTTGAGAATTGTGATAGCTTACCTGTTGATGTATTAAAAGGTATCATTTCATATAAATTAGGGGAACCTGAGTATTTGAAAATAAAACATAATCATATTAAGACATTAAAGAGAATACAACAACAATATAAAATAAACAGATCAGAAACAAAAAGAAAGACAAAGCGTCGAACTGCTGTAGGTGGTGATGATATAAAGAGACACGTAATTGAGTATTACATTTCAAGAAATAAACCTTTAAGCATTAAAAGCATTGAAGATATAGTTTTTAATGAAAATGAAAACTTAGGTTGTTTGTTAGATGGCATTGAAACCGATAACAGTTATGGAGAAGTTATAATAGTTGAGGTAAATATGTTTGTAAGGTTTCATCATTTCAATTATTATGAAGACAATAAGTTTAGTACTTTTAGTTTTTATTTTCGTAGTGATGATGCTGTAGATAATATAACCATAGATAATATAGCTGATGTAATGAGAGTGGCGCATCAAACAATAGACAGTCGTATGGAAGATGCAAGAAGTAGAATGAATTTTGAAGGAGTACAAAACATAAGGTTTAAACTAATGGTTGATGAACCTGTGTAATTCATAACTAAACCATAATTATAACATGTAAAATCTTATATGTTATAATTATAGCGAACTTTTAACCTATAAAAGAAAATTATTGATAAACATACTAACAAAACAAATACACCACCAACACCCCAGAACTTGATAACTACTAAAAGGGTTAACTCTTTCAAATGAAAAAAATGTCGGCCCCCAGCCCAACAATGAACAAGGCGACAATTTACCCAAATGATTACCTTAACGAAAACGATAAATAAGCTCCCTAAAAACCCTCTTTTAAAAACGAATAAGGGGGAACACAGATTTGAGATGAACATAAAAACCAGAACAGGCAACCCTCAACAGACCACCCCCCAGGCCCCCTACTTTTACCGTTTTTTGGGGGTGGGGCGGCACCCCATGATGATCGAAAAATTAGGGGCAAAGAATCAAAAAAGTAGCTGTCGCATGATGATCGAAAAAGTTATGATTCAATTAGGCGTGCATTTTAAGCGAAAGGGGGTGGCGGGGGGCACCGGAGAGGAACTTGCGATGCTGGGGATGCAGGAAGCCAAAGCCAAAAACCAACTGGGAAAGGATGCGAAGAGCCAAAGCCAGAAAGCCGCCAAAAGCCACAAAGCCAAAAAGGCAGCGGAACTGGCAATGCAGAGGATGCAAAAAAAAACAGAGAGGAACTGTGAATGCAGAGAATGCGAAATGAAAAGCCACAAAAGCCACAAAAACCCACGTAAAAGCCACAAAAGCCAAAAAGCCGAAAAGACACCCACCCTGAAAAAAAAAAAAAAAAACATGGCCCTCCGTTGTGTTTTCTCGAAGCGTATCATTTTGGCCACGCACAATTGCTGTTCCATGTTGGAGGCTTGGTTCGTGGAAACCAAAGGGAAAAAAACTGCTCGGCCCACTAGGTCATATATTTGTTTCGCCACGTCCCCGTGTTTGGTCGCAGATTCAACCCCTTCCCCACAAAGAGTTGAAGGAGGCATCCACTGGATGCGTGGAAAATCACCAAATGACTTGCCATTCGAATGGTCCAACTCCAAGAAGTGACCAAAGTCCAGGAGCTCAGGGAGTGAGTTTCTGGCAAAACAAACCAAATCTGCCGCATGGTCGGGGTAATTCCAACTTGCAGCAAATACAATTATGAGGAGAAAAAATCAAATCTGCCGCATGGTCGGGATAATTCCAACTTGCATTGCCGTTGGGAGGGTTGTTTTTGAGCGTACCCATGTTGGGGCTTGGCTTCAACCGAGACCAAAGGAAAAGCGAAGCCCGCTTTGGGGTCGCCCAATTTAGACCAACATGGTTGACTGCTTTTTGCGGGACCATTTTGGCTTCGGATTCCCCTCGGACCCTGAATCACGGAACATTAGTTGGCTTTGTCCCAAACTTAGTTGGGGCCCACATGAAACCTATAGGGACCGGTCCTTCGTGGCAGCTCTGCATCCCCGACAGTCCCTTGCCTGGCGAGATCCTCTCCACGAAACTTCTACTCCACAAATTCACGAACCCACAGGGATCCCCCAGGCCCAAAGGACTTTCCTTTGCAAATGGTTTTGTTCTGGGTTATGTTGATTAGCCCACGAAACCGTCCCAGATCTAACCAGCCGGCAGCGCCAGTTGCGCCCCCGCTCCTCTCGCTGGTCTAAACCTCGGGGTTGTTGCAACAGCTTGAGCAGGTCGGGGTTGTTGCAAACTAACCTACGGACTCCTGCTGTATCTCTAAGACCCTTCTTTTGATAGACTGTTTGGAAACCAACCGTTTTTAGGCCTTCTTTTCGGAAAACCTCCTATGTCTATGCACCAGGCACTTGATCCCCGTGTGCTCTGAGGCCCCAGTGCGAAAAGTTTAGCTGCTTCTTGGTTAACGGCTGACGAGGTGAGAAGCACATATATTCAACTAACAAGTTCTAAAAAGTTAAAGGCAAAAGATCCAGACCAAGAGCAGCCAAGCAGCGTATTAACATAGGGTCAGGTTCGGTTGCAAATAGATGACGGCACCAACAAATATTTGTTGAAGGCAGGTCTAAAATGCTCCTGAGCCCGTTTTAAACCCCCAATAGCACAGTTCCAGTTCTAGACCTGAGGGTGTGAAACCCCGAAAACGAGCACCGTTTGGATTCAATGGACATGGGGGGCTCAACTCCCCCAACCACCAATCCAAACCACCCTAAGCATCAGAAAGGCGTATTTTTTGAGGTCTGGACCTCCATTGAAAGGTTTTGGACCTCAAACAAATCTTCTTGAAAGCCTATTTTTGAGGCTCAGGGCGCCCGAAACTGGGCGTCTGGCGAGCACAGCCGAAGTCCACAATCTTCACCTCACTTGATCCGAGCGGAGTCCGGCGAGGGGCAATGCTAACCCCGGACTAACAAACCTTCTAGTGGGAATCCGGATCACTTTTTGTGGGCGACACGCGACACGACACTATTTACTAATAGGATGGGTTTGCTGATGCGCGTTTTCAAGTATCCCCAACCTGTGCCTGCGCACCTTGGCGAAATGTCGCCCACTTGGAGCCTATTACCACGGGGTGTTCCCCTCCGAAAGTGGTGAACCCCTGTTCACCCGCTAAATGGAGGCACCCCTATTACTCAACCAGGGGTTCGTCAATCTGAGGTTCCCATTGAAGAAGCCTTGACCCCCACCACCGAGGCTGCCAAGATTGAGTACCTATTTGATTGTGGCGATACCACTCTAGAAAAAAACAACAATTCAAGATCAATCGCCTCGAGCACCACTGGGTGCCACATAGAGGGTCTGGACAAATGAACAAAATCATATGAGCCATCTACCCTAACAACAAACATGGAAGTGCACAGATCCCCTTCGGAAGACTGTTTTCCTCTTGGCAAGGGAGCAAATGTGGCACTTACACTGATGGACAGAGGGTGGCGCCGAGATAATGGCAAGGACCCAATTTAGATCCTGATTGAGCTCCTGAACGGGGAACAATGGTGGAAGAAAATCCAACAATTATTTTTCTGGTGGTATGCGAAATCCAGAAAGTCTGCCTCTTTTGGCGGAACCGCTGGAGCCAATCTGCGACATCGTGCCACTGAACTCGCACTTGGACGCCGGCGCGCGGCCCAGTGCCACCCTGGCGAGGCCGTTTCGCTCATCTTCCCAAAACCCGGAAATCCCGATCTCACTTCCTGAGGTGGATTGGCCAAGCAGGTTTTTCTTTTCAAAACATTTTCCCCGAGTTGATTGGCCAAAAAGACTTTTTCTTGACCTTGATTGGCCAAAAAGCCCCAAAGTTGTTCTAAGATGGTCTTCGGAAGAAGGTAACCAAAGCTCACTAATTAGCTGGGAAGTTAGGGATTCCAGCTGAGGCCCGGTACCCTTTTCCTTTCCGGTCTGGGGAACCAAAACCAAAACCGCCATTTTAGGGGTCCCCGGTATTTTGACACGTAGCAAACTAAGTTTTTGGAGTGCGACAACACCAAAAGTCTTGCCCATGCGCAGCCCAAGGAATTCGAATAGTTCCCCACGAGTTCCGGCCGCAAAAACTGGAGGAAACTGGCCGTGGTCTTTGGTGAGTAATGCAGGGAAATGAAAGCACTGGCTTTTCCTCCTCCTCCTCCTCCTCATCATCATCATCATCATCATCTTTAGAAAACACACATTTTCAACCAACCTGTTTTTCAGGCCCAGTGGGGAGAAATCGCATTTTCAAGCAACAAGCTGAAGCTGAAAGATCCAAGCAAACAGCCAAGGCTGGATTTGTGTCAGGACCCCCACACCTGCCCTTGGTTTCCCGTGTGCCCATTTCAACGGCCATGCTAGGGCACAGTTGCCGCGCTGAAACAACCTGCCGTTTTTGCTTCAGTCCCGCCTTTTTGGTTTTTGTGTTTTTTCTACACAAAAACAAACAAACACACACACACACACAAACAAACAAGCAAGCAAGCAAGGAAGCAAGCAATCAAGCAAGCAAACAAGCAAACAAACAAACACACAAACGAACAACAAACACAAAACCAGATCCAGTATTGATAGATGATTTTTTTTATTAAAAAAAAAAAAACTAAGCAACAAAACAAATTTGTTGCGTGCTCAGTGGCACTGAGCAGGGATTGCAACTGGATCAATGGGTTCAGGTCAGCGGCCAGTGGGAGTCCCAGTGGCTTGCCTTTGGCTTCACCCTTTCAACTACCCAAAAACTCCAAACTAAGATACCCTCAAACCTAACCCATCACAAACACCATGACATCCATTTAATTTGCTTAAGCCCCATGGGAAAAAATCAAGCAGGTTCCCAAGAGTGATATGTTCCCTTCAAACCCACCAGGAGAAAATATAGACACAACAACAAACAACTAGATTCTGCTGAACAACTCGGCCCACCAGAGTCATGCTGCTTTCGCCATTCCACGCCTCGGTCCAAATGAGGTTATCCGGCTTCATGTCGTTGTGCACCACCCCAGCTTTGTCCAAAAGCACCAAGCCTGTGCGCTTCGCGTGGGGTGGGACCACTCAAAATGGGGTTTGCTCGTGGCTTCCCTTGAACACCATCCAAAGACGGTCCGCAGCTTGGGAAACCTCCTAACTTGACTGAACATGGCTCCAACTCCACTTGGGGTGGGGTTAAGATCCGGAAATCTTGAGGCCAAAATACAACATACTTTTGGAGGCGACCCCCAAAATACCTCATGCCCACCCGGGAAATATTCCTTTTGGTGCAACGAACAGCAATCCATCTTGGGGTTCAAGAGGGCCACTTCAAAACACATCTGTATTGGCCGTCAATCTTGTGGGATGAAAGCGTCTTGTTGAACAAATGCCCCGACAAAAGGAACAATTTGTCTGCATGAACAGCTCGAAGGCGGCTGTGTTTATCTGCAAATCTTCGAATCCACAAAACCTGAAGGATGAATCAGATTCCAAGCAAAGGATCATGGCTTTTGCTCATTTTACCCCTGAATCGGTGAGCTCGCCATATCTAATAGGCAGGAGGTGTTGCTTCCCTTTTGGTTGTATTCTTGTCGGTTTCCCTTGAAACAAGTGAAAAGGGTGCCAAGCCGGGAAAAACACAAGCCCAAGCTCTCTCCCCTCACAGAAACTCCTTTTAACCCATGAAATGACCAATGTCTTTATCATGCAAGCCGGGTGTTTCCAAACATGCCAACCAACATATGCAGGATAGGCCACCACAATATGAGGGATACGAACAATTGGCACCAACAAGTTCCCTGCCCACACATGTGGGCGATTCGAGCACCTTTCATGTGCCTAAAAGTCGTCAAAAGACCGCCCATTAAACCAAAAAAACAAACTGACAACGGCTTTCCGTGGCTTTCCGTGGCTTCCGGTGGCTTCCCATTTGCGCCCAAACCTGAAAGCGCCTGAGAGTGCTCCAAAGGCCACCAGCCGCAGCTTCCTCGGAACGCAAAGGTCAGGGTGAAGGGCCGAGTTTGAGCCTTGAATTGTAGTAATTACAGAGCTGACATAATTGGAACTCAAGAAATGGCAGGGCTCCTGGCCTAGGAATTGGATTACAGCCAGAAGAGAATTATGTGTGTTGTTATTTGGGTATGGGTCAAAATTACACACTAGGATATGGACCGCAGGTTTTACTCCTGGGTTCCATTTACCAGGGCAACCCATCGTGGGGGCTTTTCGTATTGAAGTACCCCTTCGAAGTATTTTTTTCGGCCTTGGGCTCGTCTGCATCTTCTCAAATGAGGGTCCCTGGAGCCCATCGATTGGCGGGGGGAGTTCCACACTGGACCAGTTTCCTCCGGAAAACGTGGCGAATGCATCACTGGAGTAATGACTCCTGTGGAGACTCCAGGGGAGACGCGCCGAAAAGAGCGAGACACTCCCTGGGACTTTTGGTTGTCAGCGGGTTTTAACGATGGCTGGGTTCATCTAACCGCCACTGTTGACTTCAGAGTAGCTCATCCTCTAAATTGAGTCCCCTGGGACCTTCTTTCAATGGGAACCGGCTGAGCCCTGAACCACACCCATTTGGGCATGGGTCAAAATTAAACCACCAGGAGACAGCAGGTTTTAGTCTTTGGTCCCATTTACCAAAGGTCATTTTAAAACCTGTTTTTGACCCACCCCCACTTGGATACGGGCGCCAAGTCTTGGAAGAAGCCCGGGAAGTCCGTGGAGAGACAGAGGCAGTTCTTGCCCTCCGGAGCCATTGTCATGGAGCCCAAGGGGGCTATGGGGTGGGGGGGCCATGGGCTATCCCTTATGAACCCCTCAACAAAGGGCCGTATTAAAGGCTTATCCTTGCCTGAATCCAGGGATGCGCCCTTTTTTAGGGGTCCATGACAAGGGCCCCCCTGATGTTTTAGGTTGTGATCAAGCTTTTGCCATGTTTGTTTAACCAAAAGCCTGAAGGGGCAAATTGGTCCCAAAGAGGCGTGAAATAACCAAATTCCATGGAACCCCAAGGCCAAACACCATTCATTGAATGGGTGAAAAATAGGGAGTTGCGTCTACCAACCATTTTGAGGGTTCTCTATTAAAAGTCATAGCCACACGGGCTTCGCATTATTCTCCCACAAGGCGAAAGAAGATCACCTGTTTTGATACGCAGGGGGTGATTTCCCATCTTTACGCATCATTTGTTGTCAGGGGAAGACTTCGCAAGGGTCCAGTCTTGGAGCAACGCGCAGGGTAGAGGTCCTGGTTGAAACTTCAAAAAGATGAGAAGCCCAGGTGCGAAATCAAGGTCAAATGGCATTGGGCCCAACCCTTGCACCCCAACTTGACCAGAGACAAAAGAAGTTGTGTCGCTGAACCTCATGTTGTGACCCAAAGCTTTTTGCTGGATGGCGCATAGACCGACGTGCTCCATTCGACGAAGCTGGGTCCCTGGAAAAGGGGCGTCGAAAGTGCCCGGTTTACCAATGCCCCTCCCAACGCTTTGGTCATTTCACCTTCGTGGTTGGTGATTTGGATGGTTTGGAGGTGTGGTTTGGGGTGGTCCCCATCTTATGATCTACAAGAACCAGGGCTTCAAATTAACCACCAATCCAATCCACCAAGTAAGTGTTTCCTGACTCCTTGTATTCATTTAGGGCATCTAACACCGCACTCTGTGGGACATCACGACGGTGATTTGATCATTAGCTTCCGAGCAACCCTGGCACAACCCTCCCGTTCCCGTGACGTCATGCTTGCCTGAGTGAGGTCTTCTTTCCGAGTTAGGCTCACGCTCTCCTTTTGGACGGCACCCCCAAACCCACCGGGTCCCTTGAGAAAGACATAGACCAAAACTAGGAGGGTGTTGTGTTTGAGGGGTGGCAGGAGCAGTTTTCTGATACACTCAGGGCTTATTGGGTAACTTTGTTTTGAGGGTACCGTTTTTGTTGTGGTTCTAGATGAGAACCAAAAAGGACACAACACCCCTTTGTCCCCGTGCCCGGGTCTCACCCCGAAATCCGGTATGGCCTCTAGCATGCTCTCCACAGTGTAGCCGACCTGAAGTAAAGATGGTTCAGGTCAATTGCCTTTTGTAGGTTCGTTTTAATGGAGAAGCCATTGATTTCCACAAGGTCTAGGGTCCTCCTTGCGATCTGCACGCATCTCCGAAAGGTCTAAGGGGCTATTCGGTCACACCAAAGATCTGCCACAAAATACAGTAAGAGCCCAAATGAATAGAATGGGGTTGCGGAGTGCTTTAAACCAACTTCAGACATGATGATAGCAGTAACTCACAAGTTCTGGGCCCCTTTTCTTGGCAGCCTGTTCAGTTGGTATATTTGGGGGGAACATGGTTTCATGGCAATTAAAGACCTCCATTTCAAGTGGCAGTGGACAGATGGAATTCAAAATGGCCTTTCCAAAACGCGCCGTGACTCATCTAAAGAGCGGATAGCCTTAGCTGAGCGCCCAGCACTTCTTGACCATAGGTGTCCTTTTAGGGGAAATAGCCAGGGCCCTGGTAGATGATTAAACCACCAGGTAAACCAGGGCCATCTATTGTTCAAGCAAAACAACCAAAAAGGACACCTATGTTCTTGACTTTGGCTTGCTCTGTAATGGGGCCGGACAGCAACATGTGGAGCTGAGAAGAGAACTGTATTTCAGAGGCCACTTGTGCTGAGATTGCTTCATATTCACACCGGCTTTACTGGTACCAGCCTCAAAACAACACCCTCAGCCAGAAACGAAGGCCATCCTGCTCTTGTTGGTTGATTTCAACGGACAGCCCCCTCCAAGACAAGGAAAGCAGGAAGCAAGCCGAAAGCCAAAAGATGCAGATCAGATCCGGTCGATCTGCTTTCGGCAAACTGGCAAGACTAGAGGTCACGGGGACTCCACGCCCTGTTTTCGACCTGGCGGCTATAGGCCGATATACCAAATCAGCACCAACTACCCTCTGGTGTTGATGGTATGTTCCATAGTAAATGCCTCCTTTTTTGGTTGAGGGTTCACATGCTGCCCTAAAAGAAGCGGGTATTTTGGAGTAGGGGGTACTCAATCAGGAACAAACTGGCGTTGAGATTTCCGCCAGGAAATGGGCATTGGCTAACTGATTGGCTGTGACGTTTAAATTCACAATTGGGACGTGCCCCAAATTGTTTGCTCTTTTTGTTTAAAGGGCATCCTTACCCATCCAAAGGACCTAGAATCCTAGAAGTACAAGGTTAACCTTTTGGGGCCATGCCTCAACCTGGACCAAAGTGGAAAACCAAAAGGTCAAAAGGTCGGCTTTGGACGATTGAGGTTTGTGTTGGCTGCATCTTTGAGGGACTCCCAACTTATAATTTTCGGATGCCCTCACTGTTCCGTCCATGGCCCGCATCTACGGTACGCACAAAATGTTATGTTCAACTGAGTTTCATATTTAGTCCACCCTGTTTTTTTTTTCCAAGACAGAGGAGGCCACAGGCTAAGCCCCCTACAGGATTAAACAAAAAACAAATATACCCCGGTAAAACCCGTGAATATCTCGCGGGAGACGCCTACCGGCAAAGCAACGTGTTTCGCCGCTGCCTCAGAAAAGCACAGAAAACACGAGAACCCTGGGAATTCCCACGCCATCGTAGAAGGCATCCAGCAACACGGGGAAGAAATGCCCTGGCCGGTCAAAAAGAGAAATGCTCTACGGGAGACCCCAGGCTGTTTCCTTGTTGCTCACCTAACAATCATGGAAGCCAGGGGGCCCCTGCAAGAGGACTGCCTTCCCAAATCATTCTGTCAGCTTCCATGATTGGAGGGAGGCTGTGTCAACGCCCGAAAATGGCAAGGGTGGCCGGTTTCCGTTTAGTTTCCCTCTGAATGCCAACTGAAGGGTCCACCATTTTGACAAACTCTCCCAAATCCGACCTGCTAGCATCACAGAAACATCATATGAGGTTCAAAAGAGGCCCCCTAACGTACTTTATCCTTGCGCCAAAAGGCGATGTTTGAAGTTACCTCTGCACCGACCCGGTGGTCAAGTGATTTTCATCTTCCCGCTGCCCGAAGCACCGCCCTTTGCGGTCCCAGCCACACGAACAATTTGGGGCTCTGGGAGGATTTTGGCGGAGGAATTGGGCGGGAGCCCCAAACAAAGCAGGGCATAAAAGTTAAAGCAGTAACATGCAACTGGAAAAAGCATCACATCTCCAAGCAAGAAACTCATACAACAGTCATACATCGGAAGATATCTGCTCCCCCCCAACTTTTCCCCTCCAAGGTGTTGACCCAAGTTGACTGGGTTCTAAGTAAGCATGGTCCTAGAGCAAGCTGCTTCGAGGCGTTTGGAAGATACGCCCCCAGACCGGGTTTGGGGGATTTCCTATGAGTAAAAAGGGGCACTCTGTGAGGGGTAGTGGATTTGACAGGGCCCCACTCCTCACCAAAAATTGGGGAGGGGGGGGGAACTCCCCTTTACTAATCCCCATTGGACATTAGTTGATTTCAATTGGCAACCCTTAGGCCAAAAGACACCACTGGGGTGCCGGGGCCAAGGCGTTGGGCCGAAAATGGGTTCCATACCACTGAAGGGCATGGGAACTGATCCAAGTTGGTCAGAGGCTCTTGGGGGGTTTCACCCTTTCTCTAAGGGTAGATTCCCCATCCTTTCCAACCATTGTTTTTTTTCGAAAACCGGCGGTGTCCATGGGTTGCCGGAGGTTTTCTAGAAAGAAGGATCCCTGGAAAGAATGGGGAAGGTAGCACTAGACATTCGGATATGGAACCTTTGAGACACCAAAAGTGGGGTTCCCCCCCCCAAAAAAAAGGGAGCAAACTTGGGTGTTCAACCGCTGTCCGGTAAGTGGGTTGTAACCATGATTGGTGGGGTAACTGGCGTATACCCTAGTTGCCAAGCAGCTTGAACACCAAAATTAAAAGGGGGTACTCTCAAAAAACAGCACCCCAGTGTCTTGCGGAGCCGCGCGCGGAAGGCCAAACCCTTCTCCGCTGTGCTTGCATTTGCTTGAGCCCCCTGAAAAATCAAAACATGTAATGATAGATTATCTGTTCAACCGACAGGGGAAATTTAAGAGACATATTCTTAAGTAAATAGAAGCTTGGCTTCTTACTGGCGGCCAATAGTCGGGTCCAAATGAGCCTTTGTGGCGTGACACTGGCCCATGTCACAGCCTAGGGCCCTCGAACAAAAACCCACAGCTTGCAGCTGAAACTTGACCCTTTAATTGAAAAATGAAGACTGGGCACACCACATGTCTAGGGGTTGATTCCCCAATTTGTTCAACCATCGTTCTTTTCAACAACTAGCTGTTTCTTCTGGGTTTTTGATGGCTTCCTGAAAAGAAGGATCCCTGGAAAGAATGGGGAAGGTACCCCTAGAACATGATGCTTTTGTGCATGTTGACTTCCACCATGTGAACTCATCAAAACGGACTCCGCTTTTTTTGTTCTGCCGAAAGCCAAGTCCCCACCGGGCACCAAGCGAGCGCCTGAGACTTGGCATGGGTACCCTGCCAAAGCTCATTCCAAAAAGAAGGGGACTAAGAACTTGATTCCTGTGATTCCTGTGATTGGGACAAATTACTTGGCTTGCCGGTTCTCAGGGAAGGAAAGAATCACCCTTGTGAAGCATTCCCTTCGAGCTTTTGCATGGAGAAAAGTAGTTGGAACTTCTTGTTTGGTAGGTGTTAAAGGGACTCACTCCCTCCAAAAAGAAGTTGAAAAAGACCCCCCCTGGAAAAAATATAGTTGGAACTTGCTGCTTGGTTGGCTTTATATACAGGGGGCCCACCCAGTTCAAACCAATCTGAAAAAGACCCCCCCCTCCCCCCAGACTCGCCGATGAAACGCCGCAGCGTTGGGGCGCTCCTCGGTCCACCTCCTTGAGCCGGTGGGACACCACGTAGAGATCCCCCAAGGCCTGGCGCTCTTCCGCGCTCGGGGATGGAACCCAGCCAGCTGGCAGGTACTTCTGGTTGAAGTTGTGGGTTTTTGATTTGGCTGTGGGTCAAGAGCCAAATCGTACCGCTGGTGAACATCCCAATCCCAACTAGAATAGACTAAAATGGGTGGTGCACCTACCCAAAGATGGTGCCATTGGTGTTGACCCACGGCCATTTGTTGTTGTCGGCTTGTGAGTTGCTGGCCCCATGACTTTTGGCCAAAACTGCTTGTGAGTTGACTAGCAACCTGGGCTGGCTGGAACCCAGTTGGCGAACTTGTAGGTTGTTTTTTGTTCTGATTGTGAGTTGACTAGCCCCCATGATGCTACCAAGTCATTTGAGCGGGAGGTAGGGAAACCACCCTGAGTGTCTGACTCGAAATCAGAGTGATCCACCCCTAGTTTGGCCCTCTGGGCTCTGGGCACAGCAAAACATATTTGGGCTTGTCTGAAACTAGGAATCGGAATCGGAACCCCCCAAACTGATTGGAAAAACAACCTTTGTGGTTCCCTTTAAACCAACCAAAAAGGGTACCCACAAAAGACACACTGATGTTCTCACACTGTTCACATGCAGTCTACCCTAACATAAAGCATGGCGCAGGAGACTTTCAAAAAATTGTCTGTAGCAAACCCATTCAAACCCAGGCAAACCCACGCACCTCCGACCGGACAATTGCTTGCTTTTGTTTTTGCCGCTGAATATACCTCCCAAGTTTCAACTGCCAGGTCAACATCAAGTTCCTTTGGTCTCGGGCATCGGCACCCTCAATATGTTGCAGGCTCTTTGGCCACAGCAAGGAATTGCTCACTTCCCACGGGCTGGATTGGCCAACAAGTCCCGGCTATTTGCTTGCTTGCAAAAGCAAAGGCTAAATACTGACCAACAAGTGAGCTTCCAGACGTTTACTAAAGTGATTCCGGACCGACTGCTAGCCTGGCCTCCACGGGCAAATGCCGATGGCGCTTGACACACACCTCGTGTCGGCGAACTGTCGCTGGACTCGAGGCGTGTCGATTTGCGAATCGCCTTCTTGGTGTCAGCGACTCGACACGGCGGAGCCCACTCGCAAGGGGAGCCATTGGCAACCGATTATATTTTTGTTGTAAGGAGGAGGAGGCGGAGGAGGAGGAGGCTAACCAAAGCTGGCCTCGGCTGAGAGATCAGTGGGTTTGCAGGAATTGCACCCTTCAGACTTCATATTTTTTGCAAAAAGAGAGTGTCTAAGGCGGGGAGTAAGCATCAAACACATGTCCGTTTTCCCCGTCCCCACCCATTGGGAACTCCCCACAATGGCGCACACAATGGACAATAAGGCTGGCCACTGGCAATCTCGGCATCCAGCGGGGAACCCTACAATGAGGTCGAGGCAAATAGAAAACCTCCTGGCCTTGCGAAATTTCGACGCAAAACCCCAAAGCCCACGTCCCGTCAACGCCCGGAGGATGTCGAGGGACTGAAGCAAGAAGCAAAACCATCTTTGAGGGGGAGTTGCCACTGAAATATTGCCACCAATGGCCAATTGATCAATGTTGCAGAAAATAGGAAACTCTTTTAGGGGTGGATTAGCACGTTGCACGTGGGAAATCCACCAAGAAAAGTTGGAGGGTACCATGGAACATCTGGAAACCCGCCATTTTAGTACGTAGTTGACCATCACACCCTGAACAAAGAGGGTATCTAGCAGAATGATTTCGCATGTCCCAACTTCAAGATCCTCCTTCTCAACTCTCAGATCTCTTGTCAACCCCTACTGGCCCCCTGAATGGTAGTTTATGAGAAAATACTGCACTATTTTCTGACTTTGACCCCGCCAGACCACAGTCAAAATGCCCCAGCAGGTGAGCGAAACATGTGCAGCCCCCACCAACCAATCTGTCATTTCCCATGCAAGGAACAGCTAAGGCAGCCCCGGAGAACGCCCTGACTTACTCAAAGCCACTCCGAACAAAAGGGTCCTGGTGCAATATTCTTGCCTGGCCCTGTTGGCTTCCAGGCATTCTGGTCCATTTGGCCGAAAGCCCTGGACACCACGGCTTTGTCCCCATTCGCGTAACACAGTTCTCAGCTGCCTACAGAGAAATGGTTGGCACAAGTGCAACCAGAATGTTAACTTGGGAAGTTAACAAGGACCATCTGATCATAGGAACTCCCTAGAATAGATTATCTGCTTGCTGAAAGGAACACTTGTGCAGGGATATACGATCAATGGGATCTCTGGCCAAGTAAAGCTCAGTTGCCCAAAGCACTCTGAAACCAAAGGTTCACGACTCTTGGGGCTATGACTCCTTTTGGGGCTGCGACAAACAAATTGGGAAAAGCTCAAAATGGCGTCTTTGGGCAAGTGACCCTACCAATCCAAGGGGGTCGTTTGACCATGGCACTTCTAAGTGACAGCGGCTTGGCACACCAAGGCAGGCGCCGGCATGTTCTCCTGAAGATCCTTTGCCATGTAGGCCTTGCGGAGTGGGGAAAAAAAGGATGACTGTTGGTACCATGGGTGGTTCTTCACATAGCTGGTCCTCCTTTTGGTTGCCTCACCACCCGTAAAGGGTACCATTAAACAAAAAAAAAGAAACGCACACCTAGAGTGTTGTCAATAAGGTCTATTTGGGCCTAACTATGGCCTGTCAGACCAAAGCCAGCAGGGTGAAGGCCAAAAAAGAAGTGCTAATCTGTCTGTGTGCAACTAAAATGGTCCAAACCCCACAACGGTTGTACATCCACAGGGGAAGTTTTCGGCCGGAACCTGACCAGTGGCCAACACCTCAACTCCCTCCCGTCGCCTTCGTAAAGTGGCCCTCGCCCACTGCCTGGATGATGTGATACCTCACGCTTTTTGACGGCGAGGTCGATGGGTTCTCAAAAATGAATCGGAACCTACAGAATGGGCGGGTATCTTTTTCTAGGGGACCCTCCCCAAAATGGATGTCGGCTTTCCTTTAAAACCCACAAAACAGGGGGTGCCGAGCCTCAAAAAGAGTGACCCCTATTGCGTGTCTCTAAGGAATCGGACCCCACCAAATCAGTAGATGATACAAGGTATTTTCTGGGTAAGCCTCAAGGCACGAGTTGCCAGCATGGGGGGACAAACTTCAGGGAATTCCCTTCGTTTCAGAACAAAATGTGTGCTCTTGGCTTCCCTTGCCAACTTGAACAAGGTACCCTCGAAACATACAAGCCGGTATTGCTTGAGAGCCAAAACAAGAGCCATGGGAAGGTTCTCACCAGCAATGGTCCTGGCTGGCCCTGAATAGAGCACTCGTGATCGCCAATTGTCACCATGCGGCTGCAATGGCTCCCCTTACTACTCTAGATCAGTATATTACAATGATATCTTCATGACATAAACATTGCTTGACAGATAGAGGCAACATTTACGAAACTGCACATTCATGCCTTGTCAAATGTAGAGTACAAATACACCTACCCTCCCACCGACTAACATGGAAGTGCACAAAGCCCCTCTCGAATTGGAAAGTTGTCTTGCTATAGGCGTCTATGCACTTCCATGTTCGTTGATGGAAGGGTACTGTGGAACAAAACCCATCTAAACCAGTGCCACCTTTTTTTAACCAGGCTTACCTAAAAAGGACACCTATGACACCTACTGCGGATGGCTATAGCATCCGCGTGCAACGTATGGGCCAAGTCACCCGCTTCAACTGGACGCCCGCCTCTGCGCGAGCGTTGCTCCCAGCGCCAGCCCTGAGAGGGCCGCACCCAAACGAGCCAAGTGAGCAGCGCAGCGCCCTCAAAACCCATGGAGGACTTGGGTGTGGTTGTCAAAAAAAGGCACCCCAAATGGAACCCTGGCAAATGGAAACAAGGACTATGAATTGTGGTCACCAGGTTGAATTTTGACCCATACCCACTTACAGGAAAAAGGCTTGCATAAATTCTTACTCTACCCTCCCGCATGAAAGTAGTAGAGCCGCTTACTAAAATAGCCCATGGGGCAGGGGGGTGATCGCTGCTCATTTCATTTAACCCCCTTTCCCGGACGCCTGAGATGCCCAGAGAACACAAGGTTGCGGCTGCCAAAGCCTCTATAGAATTGTTGTCCAGTTCATCTTCAGCGTCGTGCAAAACACAAGCAACTTGTAGCTTCCCATGACTCCTGTGTGCAGAAACTCAGGCAAATCCCTACATGTACCAGCCGGACAAATCGCATGCTTTGAAAAGGATACCCTTTCGTTTTTGTTTGGCTTCCTTTCACACTCCAAACAAATGCTCCCTCAAAACAGACACACAATTTGCCCATACGGGTATCATTGTTTTTAATTCGGGACGCTGTGGTGACTGTTAGAATACATGGCCACATCTAAAACCATCTGCTCTAGACGGATTTGGCTTCTCAGCTGAAAGTGATTTCTTCGGGCTCAACTGCCTGCAAAGTAGACCAACAACCCCCAAAATGGCTCGGAATGCCCACGAAAAGGCGCGAAAGGGTGGAGGGCCGCCAAAAATTGGCTCCCCCCACCCTCCTCAACCACTGTCCCGGCCAGGCTACCTGTGGGGGCGCCATTGGGGACATTTTGCGACTAAGAATTAAGGTACCCTAAGGGTCTGGATTGTGTTGGGCCCTCAAAACTGGTTGTTCTCCCCTAAGGGGTTGGGGTTCTCCATTGGAGGGTCCGGGGGTGTGCATTGGAGGGGTCATGACCCTTAGGGTAGCTGCGAACGACCTTTGTCACTGCCACGCGATCGCGCATTTGCGAAGCTGCGACAACGAGCTGCGCCAACTGCTTCGTGATCGCGCACGCTGGAGCCTCAAAAAAGATATGGACGTGCTTCATCCTGTTCCCATCCGTGCAACCCAATCCTTCGATGGCTCCGACTCGATCTCAATCCCCTACCCATGGCTTCCGCTCAGGTCCCGGCCCATGTGGCTCAACTGCTCTCTGGCATGGCCACCTGAGTGATGGTGGGGGAGGCTCACTTTGAAAGGAAAGCCAGGTAAAAGTGTTTCGACTGAGACTTGGATGCCCTTCAACATTGAAGTGTTTCAACTCAAGATGTTTAAAGACTTGGATGCCCTTTCAACTTGCTTGGCAAACATAAACCCCCCACTCTAAAAGCTACAAACATGCCCCCAATGACTACTGTCTAAATTCTACATGCCCTAAGATCCTGGCTGTACCCAAACGTTGCCTACGTCAGTTTCCAACTATAATGTTCGATTCTAACTGCCTTTTAAGTTTTGTGGTTCACATCACTCGCAGCTTGGCAACTTGCATCTGTCGCCTCTGAAACTGAAGTTCAAGTTTTTGCCTCAACTCTGATGCGCGGCTCTCTCAAGCTCTGAGCAAACAAAGTCTTGGATCTGTACAGTCTCACTTCCTGAGTAGATTGCCCCCCCCCAAAACAAACGTGTATTTTACCACTAATGGTCTTTCCAAAAAGTGACGAAAGTCCGAAACGGACTCCGGATCTGTAGGGTTGCAGAAGCAGCTTCTGGTCTGGGGAATCTCGCACCAGTCTGCGATTCGGAGCCTATTGGCCAGCACCAGCATCGCCCATCTCGAGTTGCACCAATCGCACAGAACTCCTTCCTGATGGGAACCCAACACTTGAAACCTGTCCATCCAGAAATTGTGTGTGTCCCTCTTTAGAGGCGGTCCTTCACTTTTGGCGAAAACCACCTCCCCAAATACTACGCCAGCTTCAGTAATCCGGGGTCGACATTGCATGATCCACTCTTGGCCACGAAGCAACCTCGGGCGTGTCACACAAACAAAAAGGTGTAGAAAAAAGATAGGTAATAGGTAATCACCCCCTCCTGCCAGTTGGTGTCCAGCATTCTGCCTTTGCAGGGCGCTGTGCTCTGCGTACAAGTAAGTTGATGAGCAAGTACAATCAAGCACCCACTGAGCTTGCAATTTGCGGGTTTGTCTTTTTTGAAGGCATTCCGCGGATTTCCCAAACTGTAAGGCAAAGGCCAAGTCGAGCACTGATCACTGATCGCTGTACGAAATGGAGCAAAAGACGACATCTTGGTGATTTTGTTTTTCATGGGGTCTGAACAAATAAGGCAAAACTCGCTAACTATGTGGCTAATGCCCCCTTAAACAGAAGTTGAAGAGGCAACTGGTTAGTCGCAGAACATTGAAATTGCGGACGAAAGATCCAACCCTCAAGAGCAGCCAAAATGAGGTTTTAAATAGGTCACTCACTTCTTGAGTGGACTGGCCCAAACAAAGTTTGAATTTTTACGTACCACCAAAATGGCTTGTTCGAACCCAAACTGCACTCCACTTGAACCATAACTCCAATTTGGCTTGGTCGAAAAGTGACTAAAGTCTGGGAAGTGAGGTCACCGGCCAGAAATCCTCGTGACCGAAACACGAACGCCGGGCGTCGGGCCACAAACATCTCGACGCAGCCGCACCCGAATGGAAGTCCAGGATTCTGCGCGTGAACAGGTCGGTGGACTTATATGGGTTTGGCAGGACTCAGACCGACGGACGAAGTCCGTTTCTCGCACCAAGCTGAAACCCTGGTTGACACCATAACGTTTGTTGGCATTTGCAAGAGAATCATCAGCAACCAGGGTTTCCTAGGTGGTGCAGGAATTTGTCCATCCACAGTATGTTCCTGTAACCTGAGAAGTAACACCCTAGCTAGTCAACGACTTTGTATGCAATTTGAATGGGCAACCAGTCACGATGCCTCAAATGGCGATGGGCTTATTAGTCCACACAATCAGCCGGTGTAATACCATATAACCAAGACCTGGTATTAACAGGGGTTTACCAAAAACCTTGTCATCCTGTCAACAGTCAACAAGGGAGCTATATACATGTTCACATGAATCTGGCACGGACTGTACCCTACCGAGCTTCTACCCAAGTTTTGATTGTGGCTGATTAGATGTTAGGATTCAGTGACCACCGTGAAAACAGTGGGCCTTAATAAACTACTATTGTTTACCGTTCAGTAGTTTCAGCTCTGAACCCGCAATTCTGGACTTGTCCCAAAAAAAACACCTGCTTCCAGGGGACAAACACCGTGAACAAGTTAAGCACGAAGTTTCATGATCTAAATTGGGCTAACCAGTCTTTTTATGGGAATTAATTGGTTGAACCCTAGGATGCCATGGGTAGATTGCCAAGGATCACGGGATTTACCTCAACGCAGCTCTTTTTTCTCTGGTGGGTTACAATGAAGCCGCCACCAAAAGACCCTTGTAAATATCAGTGGTTAAATCATGAGACTGGGGATGTGGGGTACTGTGAAACAACTTTGGTCATGAATATCGGAGTGTGATGAGTATGTTACTTGCATTTTTGTCGGCCCTTCGTGTTCATTTTGGCAATTGCTTTCAACTTGGTCCACAGGAAAACGTCGGAGTTGCCGGCTTGGAGGCCTGAATCTATGCCCGACACCCTGCCTAAGTCTGAAGCTACACTGAGACATCACACAGGGTAGCCCCCTCCCCCTCCCTTCCCCGCAACGCAGTTTGTACCATGCCAAATGTTTGGTGCATCTTCCGTTCTGCATGTTGTTTCAAGAGACCTCGCTGAAAACCGGACAAACCAGAGCCACTGTGTACCTGGATTCAGTGTGTATTTGTTTCAAGGGAAACTAATCGTTGCCACCACCCATTTTGGGGGCTCCCCCATTTCGAGGCAAACCCAGTCCCGGAAGTGGCACAATTTGGATGTGAAAAGGGGCCAGGGTCCTCCTTTGGCCCTTTGGTGGACACTTGGAGTCTATGTTGCAACCTGCCTGTTTGGGGCGTTGTTTTTTGCTTAGGCTTCTCGGCTGCAAAATCATCTCTACCCCCTACTCCAAATAACTGTTGATTTTTTGAACATTTGCCACTGAAAACCAGTTTTTTCAAAAATACCAACTACTAAAACAAGGTACTTGGAGTAGGGGATCAGTGCCCATGGCAACCCCCCCCCCCCCGAAAAAGAATCTCCTCCCAGCCGGCCTTCGCTGCTCTCCCAGCGTGCAGTCTCCATCTTTGCCTCGGGCTGCGCAGATTGAAGGAAAACCAAGAGGGAAATGACCAGCTTATTTTTGGTGTCCCTTTCTGAAACAAGCTGGTCATTGCCCTTTTAATGACTAGCTCCTGGTGAAAGATACTTTCGGAAACACTTTGCGCGTTTTGTTCGCGACATGCATGTGTGTTCGAGCGTGGCACTTTTCGAGCGCGTCGGCTTGAAGGTCTGTGGGTCGAAAGGTGGCGGGGTCGGCGCCTGTGGGGGGATTCATAGAGGGATGCTGCCCCCGAAAGCGATCCGGATCCAATTCATCAAGCATCCGTCGGCAAAGCCCATGACTCTTCAAATCGACATGAAACTCAAAAAAAAAGCCTATGTGCCATGGTCACAACTCCGACTCTACGGGCCATGGTCATGGTTCCCTTAAGAGGAACCCCTACATGGTTAGCACCGAGGCTGTGCATTCGAAGCCAGGCAAACTGATCCAAGAAAGGTACCGAGCCTCCAAAAAATGACCCAAATCTCACTTCCCGAGCGGACTGGCCGACAAAAAAAAGGCAAAACATCTTTCTGTTTGCCACTAAAAATGGTCCAAACACCAAGAAAAGTCACTGGGAAAGGAACTCATTTGGAGGTTTCTCATGTTGGGTGAACCCTTGGATGGGTTTAAAGGGAAACCAAAAAGAAACCAACAACGACGTCCCGAAGGTTGACGGAGTGAGAACTGGCACCGGGGCGGCGAACATTTGAGGCGTCGGCCATGGGCGGCCACCCGGGCAGGATCGTCTCCAGCCAGGCTTCCGCCAGGAACTCCTCCCGACCGATCCAACACAAGGGGGGCGGGAGGGGGGGGGGGGTGCCATAACCAGCTGCTATCAGGCGGTTGGAAGCTAAAGCTAAGCGCAACAAACAACAAACACACAAACAAACAAACAACGAGAAGGCAAGCAAACAAATAAATACACAAACAAACAAACAAGCAAGCAAGCAAGCAAACAACAAAGCACACACAACAACACACAACACACACACAGAAAACCACGCAACTCCTCACACAACACGTCACACAACATCATCGACGACAACAACAACCACAACAACAACAACAACAACAACAACAACAACAACAACAACAACAACAACAACAACAGCAGCAGCGGCAGCAGCAGCAGCAGCAGCAGCAGCAACAACAACAAAACAACAACCAAAACCACCACCACAACAACACCAACAACAATCACCACAACAACAACATGAACGCCAACAACAACAACAACAACAACAACAACAACAACAACAACAACAACAACAACAACAACAACAACAACAACAACAACAACAACAACAACAACAACAACAACAACAACAACAACAACAACAACAACAACAACAACAACAACAACAACAACAACAACAACAACAACAACAACAACAACAACAACAACAACAACAACAACAACAACAACAACAACAACAACAACAACAACAACAACAACAACAACAACAACAACACACAAACAAACAAACACAATAACAACAACCACAACCAGAACCAGAACCACAACAACGACAACGACAACGACAACAACAACAACCAACAACCAACAACCAACAACCAACAACCAACAACCAGCAACCATCACACAACAAACAACAAACAACAAACAACAACACAATCAAACAACAAACAACAAACAACAAACAACAAACCACAACCAACAACCAACAACCAGCAACCATCACACAACAAACAACAAACAACAAACAACAACAAAATCAAACAACAAACAACAAACAACACACAGCAAACCACAACAACAAACAAACAACACACAACAAAGAACAACCAACACCCAACAACCAACAACCAACAACCAACAACCAACAACAACAACAACAACAACAACAACAACAACAACAACAACAACAACAACAACAACAACAACAACAACAACAACAACAACAACAACAACAACAACAACAACAACAACAACAACAACAACAACAACAACAACAACAACAACAACAACAACAACAACAACAACAACAGCAACAGCACAGGGCAAACCACCCAGGGCAATCCGGCATTCTGCAAGTGGGCATAGTGTTGACCCCAGATTGAAACCCCGGCATATAGGGGGATGCGTTCCCCTCCAAAAATGAACCCCCATCATCCCCCCAAAAATGAGAACGGGACGCCTCCAAAAGGACTGCACACCCATCAAAAGAAAAGGGGGCGCACAATCAAAGTCAACCGGACATTGTTTGGAAGTGTGCTGTTTTGAGGCTGCCCTTGTCACCTTGGCTTAGAGAGAACTGAGGAACACCCCCCTGATCGGATGGGACTGTTCATGTGGGATCAACATTGTACCTACAAATTTGGTCATTTCAACAGATGCTAGCATTAGCTTCAACCATGAGCATTCCCCAGAATTGCCCATTGCATATGGGCCACTCGTAACTCTGCGTGGCGACTCCTAAGGTCCCACCCCCACCCCGACTCCTCGGTCCATGGCTCTGCCGCCTGTCTGCTTCACCGGAAACTTGCGGGGTTCGGACCACACTTCATGGAACGGGAATGTATACCAACACATGTGTAATGAATGTGTATACAAATGCATGTATGTGCATATACAGACATACATACATAATATATATATATATACGCACATGTATGTGTTTTGTATGTCTATGTAAACCGTGCACCCCTGTGTATGCATACATGCTCCATTCACGCATACCACAAACATGTGCATGTTGTAGAACACGGCCACCACAATTATGGCTGGCTTCCTTTGCACTTCCTCTTAAAATGCTCTGCTGTCGAATTTGCATACTCCAAGTCTTCCCCGCCTGTCAATCTCACAGGGCTTCATGTGCAGACATTTGGCAGATCTGGCAGCCTGATTCAGACTGCCAACGCACTGTTTCGGCATACATACACGTACATATATACATGCAGACATATGTATATATATATATACACATATTATCTGGGAAACGCATTGGATGCGGTTTTTGTGGATCCACCCACCCCTGTAGGATATCAAAAGAGTACTAAAAGAGTACTAAAAGAGTACTAAAAGAGTACTAAAAAAGAACCTACATGTGCGTTTACTTGTCTGAATTAGGGACCAAGAGCTGATGAGAGCACCAAGCCGATTTTCAGAAATTTCAATCCCACGGACCTTCAGAGAGCCCAGAATCGCTCTGGGTGATCTGGACCCCCCTGTTTGGCGGCTGGGTTTTCCTTTTCTAAAGCTTTTTTTTATTACACCCTAGGAATACACCCACTGGGTATTGATCCAATTTAGGCACATTTCCGGATAAAACCGTGCTATTTTGAACCATTCTGGGTCATTTCCCAAGGGTGTAATCCCAGATTGTAATACACAAACCTTCATTTAAACCAAGCTGAATTTGGCACATGATGGGCCAATGGGAAACCCCTGTAAAAGGAACCATGAAATATGGGAACCTCTATGAAAGCAGGCCCGCCACGAGCCCTGGTGAGGTCGCGATTGAACATTCCTCTGATAACTTGGCCCACAAAGGGGTACGCAGAAACAATATACTCTTATTCGGTTTCGTAGGCAGCCTAACCCAAAATATGAAACCTGTTTGGGATTGAGAATCTCGCAGAACTGTTCGAAGGTGAGTCTGTCTGCGGCAGGAAGCGATGTGCTTGCTTTGTTTTTTTGGGAATTGGACTTCGAATGGACGTTTCCATGACATCAGGCACTTGTCGGCAACAGCCAAAGTTTTCAGTCAACACCTGCCTAAGCAATCAAAGCAACCAACACATAGTACACTTGGACGAAACTCATAACTTCACCGGCCGTGGTGCTATTAAGTGTCCATGCGGGCGAAGCATTGAACTTCATTTGGAATCGAACGAAAGTAATGAAGGCCAAAAGTAGATGGCATTCTTTCGTTGCTGGGTAAGCAAAGGGGATGGCTAAACCCAACTGGGGAAATGTGCCATCTACTTTATTTGACTAATATAACTGTTGGTGAAAATATAGTGGGCAATGTCAACAGTAGGCTGTGCTGCAATTACCAGGATTGCAACTAATCCTGGCTGACCGCAGCATCTCAACCGGTCATGCTTATTGTGAAGAGCCATGCAGCATGAATCAGGCTGCCAGTCATTAAGCCAACTAGGCAAAGCAATCGTGTCGCAGTGATGAACTCTGTGTCATGCAACAATAGACAAGTTTTGACACACAGTCCAATTATCACGCATACCGCCAGCACTGGGCGTTTCCAGGACTGAAAAGGAAACCAAAACGAAACCAATCAGTTGGGTCAGTCTCCAACACTTGTAAGTACACAATACTTCAAGAATAAGATTGATGGATGCGTCCGCTGGGGCATGCGACACTCGTGATCACAAGAAGAGCTTGAGCAGAACGGATCTGTGGCAGTGCAACAGGGATCTGGACAAATTCATGTTGACCCCGTATTAATAAACCGTCCTATCAACTCATAGGTGGTGTTTCCTTCCAGTGATCAATCCTCAACCTGTAGGTGAGAAGGCTACGAACCCGGAAACAAGGAATCCGCAACATAGGGCCCTTCATGGGTGAGAGAGCTTGATGCTGGACACTCGCAGGGTCGGCAACATGGGCGAAGTTTCGTCCCGCTTCATGAGCGCAGCTCAAAAACGGGCCCAGGTCAGCGGCAAAAACAAAAGCACGAATAATCTTCACAGGTGTCTTGGCGGTCCCTCTACCACCTCAGGCTGGCATACCTTGAAGAGGAACCCACCTTAAACGCGGGCCAAACAATGTTCCAGTATACAAAATGGACCCGGGTCCCTGCAAAGCGCGGGGTGGGGCCGCCATATTTTCCCCAAGGACCCCTCTCGCAGGACTGAGGGTCTGAGGGTACGAGGGTTCGAGGGTTCGAGGGTCTGAAGGTTCGAGGGTCTGAGGGTGCGAGGGCCTCTCAAACTCGGAACCTGAGACGCTCTCCGCTCGAAGGACGTTGTTTTTTCCCCTCCTGCTGAGAAAGGCAGAGGC